CGTCAGGGAGTGCTTTGTGCCGCTTCAGTGCATGAGCGACAGAGACATGCAACGAGCAAAGCACGCAGCCCAGGCACGTGGCACGCGGGCCGCAAAAGTAGAATCCCAGCGCTCCACAGCCGCCCGGAGACGACGGTGCAGTGGCGCGGTGGTGATCAGCGAGGAAGAAAGCAACGCCGAGTGCAAGGAGTTTGTCCTGCAGAACACCATACAGCTGCTGACATCCGACACAGCGAACATGTCGGTGCAGACTAGGAGTGCGAATGAGCCCAGTTCAGGCGCTGCTGTAGCACTGGAACCTCAAGGAAGCACGAAGCTGGAGAGAAGCTGCTTGGTAGTTGCTGCAGCTGGCCAGGGAAAGACAACACTGTGCAGACGGGTAATAGCAGAGGTAATGGATGCCAAAGCGGGACCACTGTCAAAGTTCAGGTTTGTCTTCTACATTCCCTGCCGTGATGCGGAGCGTCTGAGCACTAGAAACTGGAGTGAATTTCTCGGCCTGCACGACGACGAAATGGGTTTGAACGACGAGGAGAAGAAAGCTGTGATGCTGCATCTGCAAACCCATTCCGACGAGGTGCTGATCGTTCTGGATGGCATTGATGAGGCCAGCATCGATGGCCTGGCGGAGGGCACGGCAGCGTATGCGCTAGTGAAGCGTGGCACCAGCGGTGTGGCAAAGACGCGTCTCTTGAATGCCACCGTGATTGCCACAAGCCGTCAATGCCGCGGCATCCCGGAACTCTCGACCATGTGCCGCATGCGCTTCAGACTGAAGGGATTCTCGAAAGAACAGCTGGCCAAGTACTTTATTCACCAGCTCGACATTGATGACGGTTCACGCTGCATGAAAGAGCTCAAGCATCCAAACAATCGAGCACTGAAAGAGGCCATTCAAAGAACTCCACTTCTTTGTGCACTGCTCTGCCAGCAATACACTATCACCAAATCCGTGCCGGCAAGCATCACCCTTTTCTACGACCAGTTTGTTTGTGCGGCGGTGGCCAAGTTGGAGGATAGACGCGACGCAAAGTTTGGCAAAGTGCGGCTTGCCCACGACTTGACAAGTCATGCATGTGGTGGACAGCCTTTCACGTCAAGTGAGCCCGTCCTCGTTGGCACTGCCATCCAGTATCTCCTGGAAGGTGCGATCGTAACGGAATGCCAGGCAGGGAGTGCACTGTGTGATGATGATGCAACTCAGCTGATTCAAGCTCTGCGCAAGCTCTATGACCTATGCCTGGACGGGCTTCGTAGCAACACTGTCGAGTTTCCATCGGCGATGTCAATGTCGCCCAAAATCCTCACCATCTGTCAAAATCTCGGCTTGCTGTTCGATGCCAGCGTTTCACATGTGCGGATGCGCTCGGCACCTCGGTTCTCCCTGCTGCATCTAACGCTGCAGGAGTGGTGTGCCTCGAGGGCCGTCGTCACATCCGAGGCATGCCTCGGAACTCTCAAAGCGTGCATAGGAGATCTAGGAGTCGGCGAGAACCGTCATATGTTCTGGCGATTTGTGTTCGGCGCTTTGAACCCAGAGTATGTGTGTGCATCACTGGAAGCAATCCGGGCCGCTTCGATTCTCAGCAATGGTAAACTAAGCAAGAAGACCCTGTTGCTGCTGATGCGCGCTTTACTGGAGAACCGACTTTCACAGCACACGGACGTCGTGGCCATCGGTGCCGATCTGGACCAAGTGGAAGTGGCAGATGCGGCGCATGTGTATGCGAGCGGTGCCAGCATGCTCACGGCGACTGGCATTACCCTGACAGAGGTACCGCTGGACAGTATGGATGTCATGGCCATTTGCAATGTGCTGCAGTTCGCTGATCGCGTCGACACACTGGATCTATGCCAGTGCAGCCTCTCCCTCGAACACGTCGACATGCTCTGTTCGGTGGTGGACAAGGTCGAAGATCTTAAGCTCGATGGCAACAATCTTTGCGGAGAGGCGCTGGAAGCAATCGCCTTGTCGCTGTCCGAAACACGTCGGACAATCCTGCGCCGCGTGTCTCTTCGCGAGTCGCGGCTTGAGTACAATAAATGTGACGGGAAATCTCTTGCCACGCTGCTGCAGCACCCCAGTATCCGTGAGCTGGATGTAGCTGGCACAAAGCTCTCCGGCGCTGGCCTCTCCGGACTGGCAGGGAACATGGCACGGTGCGAAACGCTGACCCACCTAACAGTGGCGTACTGTGGACTGCCGAGCGGTTGCGGCTCTGATCTTGCCGCTCTCGTTGCCAAACTGCCCGCGCTGCAATCGCTGTGGATTAGTGACAATGAGCTGAGCAACGCTGATGCCGCTGATGTCATCACTGCGCTGCATGACCACACGGATATTGAGCACATCTTCCTCGGCAATAATGAACTAAGCGACGATTTAGCGCTGGATATCATTGCTTTTCTGTCAGCACGCCAGACCCATCATAAGGCGCTAGGCATGGAGGGTGAGGGAGAGAGCGCTCAAGCCATGTGCTGCATCTACCTGAATGGAGCCGGCGTCACAACTAAACTGCTGTCGGACATCGAAAATTCTGGCTGTTGTGGGTATGACCTCGTCGACGTTGGCAGCCACTATGTAACGAGTGGTGGTATCGAGCAGTGGCCTCCTGAATCCCTTCTCAAACTGTTTGGCGGTGACCTAGTCGGCAAGCTCCAGGACAGCATGATGTCATCGCTGAGTGATCAAGTAGTCGAACTGAACGAAGTGATCACTCTGGATGTAAGCAGCTGTAACATTAGTGACCTGGGCGCACAGCAGTTGGCGAGTCCGGGCCTTGCCAAGAATACAGCACTTCGGTACATCCGACTCTTCGACAACAAGCTGCACGTGCCCGGCATCACTGCGGTGCTGGAAGTGTTGATGTCGCGCCAATCCACGATAACCGCAGTCGATCTTGGTGACAATCCAGTCTTTAAGAGTGTGAACGAGGCAGACCTCGCACTGCTCCTCAAAGCCTGTTCCACCTGTGCCAATCTGCGCTTCATTTCCTTCTTTCGCACGGGAATGAGTGACGAGATTGGCGCAGCCCTGTTGCGATCACTACCAGACGATTGCAACATTGGCTGGATAGATCTGTCGGAGAACGAAGTGGGCAATGCTACTGCGCTAGCCCTTGCTGACCTGAAAGGCCGCAACGCCTGCCTGAAGCGCATCGCTCTCGAGTGCAACAACATTGGCGACGCCGGCATCGATCACTTGCTGGACTCGGAGGCATCCGGCATCGCTGCAATGGAGGGAGTGTACTTGGCTTCTAACCCGTGCAATGCGGATAGGTTCCGTTCTCCGCTGTACGATAAACCATTGTTCTATGGCAATGATGCTGTGATCGACTTCATGACGTGCGAGCCGCAGGATCTGTAGCAGGATCTCCACGACGCGGCCATTCAGTGCTATTATCTACCAGGTATGTCCAGTGCCTGTTATGCTGCTCCAGTGTGTCCAATCGGAACTGCCTAGCACGCCTGTACTGGCCTTCAGTGTAGTGCAAAATTGCTTACATTCTGACAGTTCATTTTCAAGTTGAGGTGGTCTAGAGCTCATTATTAATTTTGTAAGTTTTTCTTGATCTAGTTATACAATTTAAAATGAAAAAAAGGTTCACTCCCACAGAAGTCGCAATTATTTGTTGTTTGCCACTCGGAGTTTCACACTAAGCGATCCTCACACAATTCTTCACGTGCGGAGATCAACTGCTGTGTGAAAGGGTCACTCTACAGGTTTCAGCATTAGCACATAGTTCATGAAATGTTCCTCCTTTTTCAAAGATAAGTTACGTATACTTGAGATACTCATTTTACTAGTGCATGTAATTTTGAAAATTAATTTGACATTGTCGGTAAACACACCCGGCTTCCTATATCAAGAGTGCCTTTGAGTATATGGTGGACTGTGAAGGACAATCCTCCCCCCCCCCCCCCTTCCTTTTCCTATTGAGTTTTGCCACTGACCATAACGTTACTTTGAAGATGTTTCAAGTATATTATGATTATACTTTTTGATATTCTGGACAATAACGCCGTGCCACACTTTCCTGGACACAGCTCCACCGCTCTTAAATTTGCACCTTGAACTCTGGTGGGCCAAATATATCAACAATGATTGTTGATATTTGTTTCTTTAGTACAACCCCCCCCCCCCCCCCTTCTTATGAGAGTTGTGCGCACACTAGTAAGAAGTATTTTCATTGTCCTGCATCACTGTCTGCCATATTATTGTAATCACCTTTTTCCCCTTTGTCCATCATAACTATCACGTTCTTCACGAATAATGTACATGTGCGATGAAGCCGTCATAAAAACTAATATCTCTTCAACTGGGTCCTATTGATTGCTCTCTCGTTGTGACTTGTGAGGTGACAACAATTTGGAATAAAGGAATTTCAAACTGAGTTTGAACTTTCTCATTAATTATTTGGATAGCTATGCTCACTGTGCGTGGCAGAGCTAGAGGTCCGACATACATTGTAGGTCTAGAACATATTCCGTACCCGCCAGCCCTCGCCTAGAGGACAGCTAAGGGGCCACACCTCACCGCCGAGATGATAAGACTTATCATCTCGGCGGTATGTTCCGTGACTATTTATTAGTAATATTACAGTCCACTGCATGAGAAAGGTTACCATGGTTACTTGCTGCAGTAATTCCTGCCTTGCTACATCTACATGCATGTGAAGCCTTTTTGGGTTGCTTTTGCAGTTCAGGATTGACCCCCTATTTACTAGGCCTAGCTAGCCCTCCCCCTCCGCGGAAAAACACTGAAAAAGCCGGAACATACAGAAAACGCATCGGGGGAAAACATGCTTTCCCCCTTCGGACTCCGCGGCCTCGACCCTAGCGCCTAGCCCCTGTGCAGTGCGCGCGGTACAACAAGTACACATGCCGTGGCGCACATGAACTACATTGTACCCGTACTTTGTAGATCACGTTTCGTGCGAAATGATCGTTGTGATTAGATGTGTCGTTGACTTGAGTTTGAGTGGCAAGTCGACTACATTGTAATTTGTAGTCGAGGAAGACTTCTTTTGATAGCAGTAGCGGGAAGGCAAAGGCACTCCAACATTCGCCTGCCACCAAAGTCCTGGAAAACTACTCAGGGCACATTGACAGCCTACAAGTACAAGCACCTAGTCGACAGACTTCGATCATTTTCAGCTGCACAACATCGTTATTATTGAATTTTCTATTTTAGTAATTCCGAAATCTGCTCGGTTCGATCGTGCCCATGACTTGAGTCCTTTGGGCGTAGGTGGCTTACTTCTTAGCATTGCTTTGCTGATGATATTGCCCGCAAGACGTGGAGACCAGCTGATTGTCGGCTATGGGCTGCGCCGAGTCGAGGGAGTGCTTTGCGCCAGACATCGAGCACAGCGGATCGGAGTACAACGCAGCTGTCATTGAGCGATGCCCGTTGCTCACCGAGAGGTAAGCTAGCTACCTATCACGCATCACTCAATATCAACCCGTCTCCTGACAGTTTGTATGGATTTTGAAGATGCAGTGAAACGAGTAAAAATAATTATTGTAATCAGTGCTGCTAGTTATTTTAATTTAATTATTTTCAATCACAATGTGACACTCCAGATGCCTTAGCATGGTGACATCAAGAGTACCAGGGTTCTAGCCAAAGGGGGGGGGGGGGGGGGGGGGGCGCAGCGCTCCCCTGCCCCCCCCCCCTTACTCTGTTTGCGCGCCCCCTGTGAAAAAGTGCCCCCCCCCCCCCTACTCATTTTCCGATTTTTGTTTATTTCATGCCATTCAACAAATATGCAGACAATAGTCAGTACTAGAGGGTTCATACATGTACATGCAGTGCTGCCAAACCGTCCGATATTTTGGACAGTGTCCAACTTTTGAAGGCTCTTCCGAAAACCGGTTCGAAAAGGGAAACGTCCGAAAAGCAGCCAATATGTCGGAGATCATTACTTTCCTATGCAGAAGTCCTGTGCTTTCACTTTTCAGCGCAACTGAAGGCACAAATCACTGTACATTTGCTTCTAAAATGGCTAGCGCTTGGCTGTGGAAGTGCAAAGTAACATGCCTGGATCAGGCTGTATGGCATGTACGCTGACGGTCTGTACAGAGTCAGTGTGCGACCACACTCATCATTACAAAATTCATGACAACTGCGGGGTTACCATGGCAACGAAGCGAATTTTCATGGTGTTTTAGGCGATATTTTTAATTCTCTGTAAAAAAATTGCCCAGGAGAAAAATTCGCACCATGTGGCCAGCCTTGGCGATGAACATGGTGAAGGGTGTCCGATTTTGGGCGAAAATTATTTGGCAGCACTGTACATGTCACATTTGTCTGGGGGTGAATTCCGGTGTTTGCCCCGTACGTTGCATTTCGCATTGCAAGACTGTTATTTTGAAAATGGAAAAATGGGTTACAGGATACATGTAACTGTTTTCCCTGACCCTCACACCCCCTTCCCCCACCCCCTGACCCCCCCCCCCTGACCCCCATAATGGGGGTTATGTACTCTTGGTAACATGTATGTAGTGTACCACATACCAATGCCAAAACAAAGCTACACGTATGTGTACAGAACCATCGCTAGGGCTTCTGTTGAAATCGGAAAGGTTCATTAAAAGTTACAGTGATTCTTGTCGGAGTGGGTAGAAATGTGAATTTTTGGCCAAATCAGTGGCACCTCAAAGGGTTAAAACAGTGCACTGGCTCTGGTGCTATCAGAACATATTCTGAATATTCCAGCCGACAAGTCTAGAACAGCTGAAGCAAGTTAAAAAATTGACACGGGTTTGCGTACAGGGCCGGTCAAGAGCCACCTTTCTGCTTCCGTGAGACGCCACCACCGGAGGATACATGTAGATGAGACCCGCCAACCAGAGGCCAAAGGACGAAATCCCATTTGCCACATCCTGTTTTTCCTCGTGCCAGACCACGAGTTTCCCATTCCCAAGTTTTAAAACCCAATGAAGACTGCATCACGATTATCACTGTACTAGTGCTGGCATGTACGAGTAGATTCAGTGTTCATCGTGAACTGCTCTTCCGACTGCCCGTACAGTCAGACGTCGCTTAGGGCGCGTTCAGACTGGCGTGAATAGCCGCCGGAATGCTGCAGCGTATCCCGGGAATCGCAATCACACTGCACGTGTATCCCGCTGGAATGGCGTGTACATGTCATACTTTTACAAGCTTTGACAAGCTTTTTACATAATCAATCGACATTTGAAAAAATTGATTTGACTCAGTTTGAGTTGGACATCAAACTAAACTAAATCAGTCTGTGGAGATACTGGATCATTGTGCTTTTGCTTGTGCTTGTCGACGGAAAGAATACGATGTCCTGTGTTTATTCGTGTTCTATTTGAAGAACAAATGGCTGACTACTGGCAAGTTCAAAAAAATAAAGCACATGCTAGCGACCACGATGGGACTCGAACCCACAATCTTCTGATTCGAAGTCAGACGCCTTATCCATTAGGCCACGCGGTCAGCTCAGGTATCGAAAGTACTCGCACATCTGAATAGTTGACCTCAAGGTGTTCAGATCACCAATGTGCTACCGTAGCGAATCATCTTAGTTTATTTCCCCAGAGTCACAGAGCTAGCTGCATGCATGTTTGAGTACGACAATGAGGTACACGCATTTTTATGACAACGGAGGCCATATTGAAACAGTGCGGCTGAATTCTGAGCACCCCGCTTTGGCTTTTCGAAAATCTAAGGTGGGAAACAGCTGTCTGGAGGTTGGTAATAGTTATCAGTCTTGTCATTGGAAGTAGCCTCATTATGGCAGTCGTGATTGATGAGACACATGACATGGTCGGGAGTGCACTGTGGCGGTGGTGGTAGTGAAGCTTGCAGTGGAGGTGACTGCTAACACGAGATTGACACCAGGGTAGAAACAGTGCTGTATGGAGGAAATTATTTTTGCCACTATCTACGACTTAGAGTCATCAGTCATGTTGCTGGTTTGAATGAGGTCGGCCAGAGAGCGCATGTGCTGGAGGTGGAACTGATCCATGGAGGTTGTTGCATTGGATTTAATTAACTAAAACAATCCCACCTCCGCCACACATGTTGTGGGATTGCTTTATTGGTAAACAGGCCGAAGGCAGCTGCTTACCTGTACATTTATAAGAAGAAAAGAGGACCAAAGAGCTACGAGTGACGCTATAATATCCACTAACACCACCAGTTACTTTTCTGTCAGCTCATGTGATAACATTGCACGACACTGACCAACGGTCTTGACGTTCTACGCCTAACTGGCAATCAACTCTAGCACATCTTGGATAAAGTAACTGGTGGTGGTAGTGGATATTATAGCCTTACTTTTAGCTCTTTTGGTCCTCTTTCCTTCTTATAAATTCATCCTTGGCTCTCCACCCGATTCTAATTACCTGTTCATCTACGATTTAATTCAGTGACTATCTGCAAGTTTGCGGTCAACACACGCTTTTAACACCACCTGCTCTATCTAGCTGCAAACAGCTATCCTTTATCACATGTACTCAATCTGCGGACAGAGCTGTTTCGTCCTTTGTGGACTCATCAGCGAAGGACAGAGGAAATGAGGCCGAACCTCATAGCAATGAAAAATAAATTTTCCAAAGCCAGATTTAAAAACACCAGGCCCGAACGTACCTTGCCAGAGTGCTCAAACTGACAAGTCAGTGAGCTCTGCATAACGCAAACAGCAAAGGCACTACCCCACTTTATCACATGTGCTTTGTGTATGACCAGATGACGGAAGAGACCTGCTGGCAATACTGAAGGAATGTGCTATGAGTTTCTCTGAATGTACAGTGTCATCTTGCTCAGTCTATTGCTTGTATTGAGTGGCACGTCTGTGATTTTGAAACCTTAGTCGCACCCCCCCCCCCCCCCTCATTCTAAGGGTTGAGCCATATTGTTTTATTATAATCACTTCCGTAGTAAGTCATGCTCGATTGTAAGTCGCACCCTGTTTTGGCCCTTGAATGCTGATGTAAAGAGGTGCGACATATATTCGGGGAAATACCCTACTGTGGCAGACCCATAGATGTAGTGACTGTGGTGATATAAACTGCTAACTGCATGTGTTGACGGCCGCTAAACACATTTGACTGCACTGCTATTTCGCTGCAGGTACCGTCCGCCATCGCTGTGGGGCCGTAATGGCCATGCTCAGTGTATCGTCTTCTGCACGCTGGGCAGGCAGTACGCACACAGCACGCCCGGAGTCCAGGCCACCATGGTCGCGCTGAAGAGTGCTCAGGACGGCACGACGATCACGTTCGACATGTTCGTGCGCGAGGACGTCGGCCGCGCGAGGGCGCAGGCCGAGGACGCACCCTGGGTGTTGATCGCGCCGGGCATCTGCAACTGGAGCCAGTCTGACTACGTGCAGAGCTTTGTGCAGTACGCGCTGCACGTGCACCCACACTGGAGAGTGGCCGTTCTCAATCATCTCGGCACGGACTCGAGAATGCTGCCCACTTCGGCACGTGTGTTCAATCTAGGTATGCTGACCGAGTACACAGAACTCACAATGGTGTCCAACACAGTCGCCATATATGCACTCGTGGCATTGACCGATGTTTTGGAGCTAAGTAGCAAAGATTATTGGCAATGGCAGTGATATCACTGAGGCAAAAGTTACATTATTGTATTTGTGTGTTGTACTTGAAGTAGCGTTTCATTCTCGTGAAGGCCATAAGAAAATTTGTGTCCTAAATTACATCATTCTGTATGTATCAGGTCACGGGCAAGGTAAGGTTTGATATAAGAATCTGTGCGTGTGTATGTGTGCTGTGTGCGTGTGTGTGTGTACGTGTGTATGTGTATGTATGTGCACTTGTCTGATAACACATGTGTGTATAGGTTGCTGTGAGCCGTTTGACCTGATGGTGAAGCACATCCACAGGCGATGGCCCGACGCTCCGCTCGTCGCGCTGGGCTTCAGCATGGGAGCGAACATCATTCTGAAATACCTAGGCGAGGATCCGAGCAGGCAGGCACTGTTCAGTGCTGCCGTCTCGTGTTGCCAGAGCTATGTGTTCAGCCCGTGAGTGCATCTCTCAGTATGTGCAAAACGTGGTCTCTTTTGCCAGGTTGTCTCCTCATCCGGGGGTCATTTGACTGGAAATGGGTGACCCCCAGGTTCTAGTTGCAGTGGTTTTCTGGGACGGGTGGTCACCTTACCCGAGTGGCTGCCTTGACAGTTTTCACTGTGTTATCATGTATATGGCCGGGTCCTTCCGCTGTTCTGGACATTGAAATCGCAGGAGAAGTCAAGCGAGCACGGGGCGCTGGTCCATGTTTACAGTGTGTCCGCGAGCTGTAGTGTGTGTACGCGCAAAGGCAATACGGGCGGCGGCCCCGGTCATTCCACTGGATTTCAATTTCCACAACAGTATTGTAAATACGGTGCGGTGCTGTGGTGTCCTGTGTTCTTCTTCTACAGGTCGTTGGAGTACTACGAGCACTCGCTGCTACTTCGCTTCTACTCCTCCGTCATAGCACGGCGAGTGCTTGGCCTGGTGAAGCCGCACCGCAGCATGTACTTCAACTATTGGCGGAGGGCCGGTTACATCCGTGACGGTGGCGACGGCAGTGCAATGGCGTCGGAAAAGAACCAGGATACCGAAGAGCTCCTGGGCCCGACGAGGCCGGTGCATGCCTGCAATGATCCCGACAGCACGTGCCGCAAGAATGCCGTTGCGAACGCCCGCTTCCCGCCGGGCATCAATTTGACAACAGCTGACGATGGTGGTGAAGGGTCAATTGTCGAGAATGTGCATGAGGACGTCGTGTTTTCCTCCTACCATATGGGAGATCTCGATCGCAATTTCTTCAGGTTAGTGCTTCGAACGGTCTAGTTAGACTTGGAGCAGCCCTCTAACCCTGGTGCTTTAAGCCGATCTAAATACTCTTTAAAAACTCGGGTGTTGAGCCAATAGTAATATGTAAAGAGAAAAGGACCTACAAGTTACTAGTTATGGCTAACAGTCCACCAAGGTAACGAGTCAGGTAGTCGAGTGTCTCGATATCCTTGTCTGCTTTGTACCTTGTTGTAGCACTATCTGACTGTATGTTATCCCGTTACCTTGGTGGACTGTTAGTCATACGGGTAACTAGCAACTCAGTTATACGTCCTTTTTTTTCTCTTTACATAAAATACAAAGAGTCCATAACCCCAAGAGTGTGCAACTGGGGCCTGGCTGCTGTAGGCCCACTGCGCGGCGGAATTCCAACATTACGTCATGCCGCCGAGGCACAGCTGTACAAATCTCCGCATTCCGCCGTGCTTGGAACTAGGGAGTAGGACAAACGCAACGAACGTGTACGTCATTTTTGACGTAATGTTGGCATTCCGCCACTCGGATCCCCATGCACAGAGTTGCACACTCTTGGGGTTATGGACTCTTGTAAACACGCTTTGTTCACTAGACTGTATTGCGACCGGTTTGTCCAGTCACTCTGAGCTCCGGTGATGGTCCTGGTCCTTGGTCCTGGTTGTATTGGTCCTCTGTGAGGCAGCTGGTCAACTGATCAGAGCTGTTGTTGCCTTGGACAATTTTACTCTACCCTCCCCTCGATAGACAGCTAGCTACCTGCAGTGAAATAGCCCTGGATAAGGAGACCGTTGTGCCTCGGGACCACATTTGGAAGGTTCCTTGAGCAGTCACCTTAGACAGGCTTTACTGTGCTATCGATGCGCTGCATAACTATTAGCTACATTATTTTGTCACCAGCAGGTCAACTGTACTGATGTGCAATTCAAGTGTTTGCGTTGTCTTAGAATACTTCGGCAGACGTTTAAAAAAACGTAGCCTTGGTGAGCCGGGTAGGTAGGGTTATTTAGCATGGCCAGTGTT